TACTGACATTTTGTCTGTTCCATGATTTAGATATTGTTGAGGCTTTAACATTAAAAAGTTATGACATAAAAATAATTAGGAGTGCAAAAACCTCTTCTCTGGCCTCAGTAGAAAGATAATGCAGGAATGTGCATCTGATGGGCAGGGTGCTATATACGGAGGGGAGAATAAACATTTCCTCATGAGCCTTGTTAATCACTTGGTAAATTATCGGACATGTTTTTAAGGGGGCACAGCAAATAGTTTTAGAGGATACATCTGGGTGCTGTTGGCCATGACTCTTGGCTGGCAGTACTGCAATTCTGATGCAGCACTAGTTGAGGATGGAACTCTCTTGTTATTAATTTCTCCTTTCTGCTTCTCCCTGCACTGCTCCTCCACGCCTGTGATTTACCAGCTAGACTACTTCGGGGCATAGGTTTCGTACTTGTTGAAACGAGTGCTAGTCCCCTGCTCAGAAATAACCCAAATGACTGGTCAAAGCATGCAGCAAAGCACCTGCAACTTGTTAGCTGGCAGCATGATGAGTGGCTAAACTTGGTATCTGCCCCCTCCCCCCCACCAAAGTGCCTTTGTGTTGGTCTTGAGTCCTGGCGACTGCCTGGACTAGTCCCTGCAGTTTTCTTAGCAAGATTTTATACTGTAAGTGGCTTGCCCTTGCCTGCTTCCTAGGGCTGAGAGAGAGGGACTGGCCCAAGGTCACCCAGCTGGCTTCGTGCCTAAGGTGAGGCTAGAACTCCTGGTCTCCTGGTTTCTAGCCTGATGCCTTCACCACTACACCAAACTGGCTCTACTATTCTAAGCCCCTAACTATACTTGCTCAGTACCAGTCCAGCATACATTAAGGAGAGTGATTGGTAGTTGTTTTTCCCACTGGCAGATGATGCTTGGGGAAAAGGAAGAAAAACCCAGGAAATTCACTAATCACTTTCCTTAATGTACTCCCCCCCCCACTTTAAAATTGTGAGGACAGCACTCTTCACTAACCTTGTTACTGAGACAAGGGCCTGCTGGGGCAGCAAAATTGCTGGCATTCTTTTCTTTTGGCTCAAGGACTGCTAGACTGTGCTTTCATGTGGCTGTCTGGTGGTGCCCTTTTGTTTTTAAAAGCAACTCCATCATAGGCAAGGGGAGGGTTTTTTTCCCAGACGTGGCTCAGCAACAAGAACGTTGTAGGGGGCAACATTTGCTTGGAACTGTGAGCTCTTCAGGGGTATCCCAGCCCCAGCTTGTTGCCTGATAGGGCTGCAAAAATATGTGTCTCTCCCTCTCTCTCTATCTTCAACTGGCTGGCTCATATCTCCTGGTGTCAGCATCTCTTTCCCTTGTATGCCAAATACATTTGCCCCCTCATAGTCCAAGCAACTCTTGTGTGTCCTAAACTGAACTGTCATTGCCTTTCAACTCTTTAAGCTTCCTGTGGGGAGCAAATGCAGTGTCTTCACTTATATAGCCCTATGGATTGCTTCCTATCTTCTGAGATGTGAGGTTATACATTATGGTATGCTAAATTAAACCATGTTCTGTGGTCTGTGATGTGGGAAGTCTGGGGTTGTTTATGGAAGTAAAGTCATGGATAGAAGAGAGACATGATATAGTTTAATTGTGCTCTTTCTCTGTACTGCTGACATTCCCCCCATGACACCACCCATTTCATTCCATGAAGAAAGCTGGGCTTCACCCACAGATCTTCAGTACTGGAATGCATCTTAACAGCCTCTTAAATCTTAAATCTTAAGACTTAAGAGCGGCATTTAAAAGCACTTCATTTGTAATAATTCAGTGCTTGCAGCTGTGTCCCCTAATGACACACGTATATGCAACTGGCAAATTATTGTCAACATCTTATTTATTCTCCATATCAAAATCTGGTCAGTACTATTGCATCAAAGGTCCTCAAATGTTTTGGGTTGGGTTGGGGATATATCTGGAATTTTGAAAATGTATTATTAGTGCTCTCACAAAATTAGTGCTCTTCACAAAACAGCTGCCTGGCGGGACCTAGCCAGTTACAAAACATCAGTGTACCAGAATTTTACCTAATACCCACTCTAGTCACCTCATGGAAGTCTCCGTTGGCCTTGCATACACAGAAATGGCATATCCAACTCCTAAACAGATTACTCCATTTTTACATTTCTGGGCTGCCAGTGCAGAGGAGATGATACAACAGAAAAGAGAAATTAAAAAAAAAAATTAGATGCAAGTGAGGAAAGGCTCTGAGAATACCTTTGTAAGTATTGAATGAGTGAGGACATAAAGCGTTTCAGTGGCAGGACAGACAATACCATGAAATGGGGTGATGGGAGTAGACATAATGTCTTTGCTGAATGATCCAAGCTGGTGTGTTGCCTACAGTCATGTTCAGAAGATACATGGTTGCCTGACCATGTAGTCAGGCATATCAAATCTGGCAAATGAACCTGTATCTATTAATGAAGATGCAGGAAGAGTTTGCAAAAGAGTCCAAAATGTGGTTAGATTTCATGTGCTCTCACAAGCTAATCTGTTGATGCCCTCTGCTGTTTGGAAGTCAATAAGTTCATTCTTCCTTTCTGTTTACAATAGTAAAGATTGTAAGCAGTTTCCAGTACAAAAAAGGGAGGAAAGGAGAAAAGAACTGGCACATTATAGAAGAACATCTCCCAAGGACCAAAAGGCCAAATGCAGTTGCCTCTGGAAATGATTGAAACTAAAATTTGGCTGGATTTGATGTTTACATGGCATTTGTGGGGAAAAAAAAAAACCCCTCCCCATCCCCTTTTGTTCTATAAGCATTCTGTAACATGGGGGTTCAATTAATGGATATGAGACTTCTCTTAGTTGAGGCCAACTTTCTTTTTCATTATTATTTATTTCATAAGTACTCAAATACTTTTTCCACATAAAAGGCCACTGGGGATCAGATGAACTAGCTAGGTTGGGGAAGGGGCCTTCTTGCTCATCTAGGGAGCCCCTGAGCTATGAAGACAATGGGGAAATATTTTTAATATTCTAAAATGCTATGTAACAACTTTTTTTTCCCCCAAAGAGTTCTCTGAAATTCAGAGTTAATGATGGTCCAGGAAGAAAACAACAACCATGATCATTTGCTTCAAAATCAAGAACCCTAGTGAAGAAATCCCAATATTTAAATAAATAAAATAACAGCGTATTATGATTATTTGCTCATGATATGTGTATGCCAGCGTTATCTGTTAACTCTGAGATGATGCAGGGAGTATGTGGAGAACAAATTCACGTCAAAGGCTAAACCATTCTTATGCTTCAGAATCTAGGGTACTTGATGTCTGTGGCTTTCATGTGTTTCAGTGGAATTCAGGGCCATCATGCCACTGTTGTTTCACTATGCTTCTTTATCTTAAGAAGTAGCCATGGCTGTGAGAAGGTGTAACATCTTCTGGATGTTTCAGACCTTCAGAATGTAAGGTTTTTCTGTTATTTTAGAACAGCACCATGAAACAAAACCATGTGAAAGAGAGATTGCAGAGATGCTCCTTGAACATTGATCTGAAACAACATACTTTTCTGATGTGAAATAGTCATCTCATGGTGTTGAGCAAGGCATGCCAGGATATAATGCAAAACTGAGCAAGATCAGTTGTATTTTTACTCCAAATTAGAGATATTGGGACTTGCACAAAAAAATACATTGGGCTTTTCCATCTCTCTGTTGCTTTCTAGAAAGTCAGGATGCACGTGGTTTAGTGTTTATTCTTTCATATCTTTGTGTACATCTACACATGAACATAGATTTCACTAGGCGATTTTGGGTCCATCACACTCTTTCTTTCAGCTTCTTCATATTCTGGAAATAAAGTGAAGGGAAACCTGAATGTAAGCCCTGTTGAATTCCATAGGATATAAATGTAATAATAACATGTTTTGGTGGCTAGATGCAACACTTTTTTGTGTGTGTGTGCAACTAAGGGACACAACAGGCAAGAGAATGACACAGTGGTTTCCCCTGAATGGGCTGAGATTTCCCATGGTTTTTATTTTACTTTAATTTTTAAGGTGGCATTTTTTTTTTTTAGTTTATGTTTGGTTCTGTTTTCATGGTATGTGACGCGCACAGGTGTTATTATTATTACTACGACTACAATTACTATTATCATTTTTCAGCCATAAACTGGGATGTTTTTAAAAGCTGCCACTAACATTTGACAAACAAAGGATGCAAAAAAGGGGTTCAAAGCCCACGACTACAAGTTGCCAAATTCCTGCCTTGTTGTCAAGTAGTTGCTTTCTTTAAAGTTGTAAAAACTAAAATATTAAAATAAGTGTCAAAACTGCAGTATGTCTGCTCTTGCCCACAGATGCCACTAACATTTGGCAATAAAGGATGCAAAAAAATGGGCTCAAGCCCACAACTACAAGTTTATTTTTATTTATTTATTTTTATTCATCAAACTTATCCCCGCCCATCTCACCCCAGTGGGGGACTCTGGGCGGCTTACAACAGATTAAAGTTACCAAATTCCTGCCTTGTTGTCAAGTAGCTGCTTTCTTTAAAATTGTAAAAATAAGTGTAAAAACTGTAGTATGCCTGCTCTTGCCCACTGATGTTTACTTATAATACCAGACCTCTGGACTTGGCAGCTCTTGGATGGACTCCTCTGTTCTCTGAATTACAGCATGAAATATGATGTCTAGTGAGCAAATCCTTTGTAGAATACAGCCTGGATAAGAATTTTCACTCCTGGGCAGTTGCTTGAGAAAACAGTTTTATATGGGTTCTTATGGTGGGGTCATGCAATCTCTCTACATTTTGGATCCTTTCCAACCATCTACTCCAAAATCTGGCTGAAATTTCAGTTACTTTACAGGGAGTGAATAATTTCCACACACAGATAGAGCAGCTCAGCATCAACGTGACTACTGTTAGATGGTAAATAGGGAGGGAGGTACATCCAGTGCTCAGATGATGCGTAACTTATCTTGCTTTTTCTGTGTTACGACTGCTAATGTTTGGTCTCTTTTGTGCCTTGTTCTTATAGGCTGCCACACCTTGCATGCCTGCTGGCAATCATGAGCTGGTAAGTATGTTTTCCTCTTCTTTTTCTTTGTCCCTTGCTTTTCTCTATGCCACTTTTCTGCCCAGAAAATTGCCTAAAGGGCTTAATCTTTGAGATGAAGGTACGTAGGTGAAGCTTAAGAATTCTAAAAGGCAACAACTTGCTGGAAAAGCACCCATATGCGTGCAAACCTGGCTGCAAGTTTGGATGTTCTTTATTTTTAATGGATTTTTCTAAATGTTTCCAAAAAATATGACAAATTAGGTATGCACATTTCATACCAAAGAGTTTGATTGCATACAGATAAGATCTGTATACCTTTCCATTAAAACCGGAAAACTAAAGAAAAGCAGGGATATTCTTATTTTTGTTTTGAGAATTTAATTATAGATACATATTTTACAGCTTGTATACTTACTGGTGTACACCATTTTCAACATGTGAAATGGGTGATAAGGAAGCACATTTCCCATTATGCAGTACGACTTCTGATTGGTCTTCTCTGTCAACATGCTGGATTCCTCCTGTGCTTTCTGCTTTTTGGATCTACCAATGGATCTACCATTGAATTCAATTCAGCATCTTGCTTTTGATATCACATTAGGGTTGTAAAGATTGTCCAGCCATTCTTCCATTGGTGAAAATAGAATGACTTATTATCAACTGTTGAACTATGCTATTCTGATATTGGTCTAGATTTGCTCCATGCCAATTTGGTGTACTTGTGAAGGTGCTGGATGAGAAATCGGGAGATGGTGTGTTCTAGTCCTCTCTTAGATGTGGGAAGCTGGCTTGGTTACTTTGGGCCACTCTTTCTCTCTTTTAGCCTAACCCACTCTCACAAGGTTGTTGTTATGGGGAAGATAAGAGGTGGATAATAATGTATGCTCCCTCGAGTTGTACAAAATAAAGGCAGGATATGATGATGATGATGATGATGATGATGATGATGATGATGAGGAGGAGGAGGAGGAGGAGGAGGAGGGTGACATACACACAGAAGAGCCTATCTCTCCTTTGAGCAATGAAGTTTGCATGGGCTAAGGAACTGTTATAGGGTCAGTGAGAAGCAATAATGTCTTTGTTTACTCCCCTCACAGATGAGAGATTACTGAAAGCATGTCAAGATTTGCCTTGCTTAGGAGACTTCTCAGACATCCTGTGACATTAAGGCTGAGACTTCAAAATAGTTTGGTAGTCTAAGATGTCCTCAAGTAGGGAAGAAGCCATAAAAATAGATTTCCAAGGAACAATCACTGTTTACAGTGAATACAAAATTCAAATTATTGTTTTTCTTTCTTTTGTCTATGTGATAACCACTCCCTCTTTGACAGGAGGGACAGTATCTACCGGTAATAAGCTATTTCCTTGGGACCATGTGGGAATTTAATGTCACAATATTGCATTAAAATCGTCCTTGCCCCTTCATTGAAAAAAGTTCTTCAGTTATTGACAAGTGACACATATCAACATCCATTGCTATAGCTCAGGTGTAGATTTCAGGTATTCAGAAATAATTTTCTCAGCCAGCCCTGGTATCTGAAGAATCTACAGTTCTTTTTGTCAATAGATTTCAAATAGTATGCATAAAGGAAAGAAGAGCACATGCATATTTAACACAGCAATCTATACAGAGTCATGTTAAAAATCTTGATTTCATCCAAAAATGTGGTAATAACAGGACAAGTCCAAACTATATCTTAATAAGCGATCTTGGAAAGCTCTTTGGGAATTCTTAATCAAGATAAACAAAGTAGTCAGAACACAATCTAAAGCCACAATACTAATAATTGTGGCTGAGATTATTGCTATGGGCTATGGCATAAATTCTGATTTATTCCAATTTGTAGAATAACCAGAGAGGATATGAAACTCATGTATTAATGAAATGAGATTAGGAATAGAGAGTTTTGGTCTATCTGTAAAAGCTAATATATGATCTACATATAGAATTTTATGCTCTAACTCTAGTGTACTCACCTTAATGTTTTCAGAATGTTTAATTATCTAGACAAGATGTTCTTAAGCCATTTATTTTTAAAATAAGGCATCTTTGGTGTGTACCTCCTCATAAATTTCACAAAAGAGGGGGCACACCATTAACTCTAATCCATGATTTAAGGCCTGAGTAAATTATATTAATCCAAACATAAACATTTGGGGAAACTCCCAAAGATCTTATCTCCAATCTTAAAAAACAAACTATTAAGTAACCATATTTATTTATTTATTAAATTTATATGCTGTCCATCTCCCCCAGAGGGTGACTGCTTTCTCCATATTCAGAGCTGTAGCTGCTGAGTCCTTTTTATTTTAAGTTAAAACAAGAACGTTGTTTAAAAATCAGAAGCCTAACCCTGAATAAATCCTGCCTGAACTGGGTGCACAATAGTTGAAAGAATAAACTGTAATCTATGGCCCCAAATAGCTGTTAAAATCTTTAGCATCCCCATTGATCAAGGCAATTGGTAGATAATTAGAATACATGGTAGTATCCTTGTCTGGTTTAGGATTAATTATAATATTTGCTTCATTAAAACTAAAAAGCAGGAATTTATTTGGGAAAAAAGTCATTCAGTAAAATAGGAGATTAGAGCCCAATATATAATATACTTAACTGGAAAACCATCAGGGCCAGTCGTCTTCCCTAATTTCATAGATTAACTGTAGTGACCATTTCTTGAAGTAAGAAAGTGATGTGAGATTAGTAATCTGGTCCTTTGATAATTATGGTAATTTTACTTTCTGTTAAAAGCAAACTCTATTTTACCATCTATTGCTGAAGAATGGGAATCTGCATACTGTTTGCATCCCCTATAAATGGTATAATATTACATTGTTTACTTTATCTGAGTCTGAATAATATATTACATTTCTCTCCCTTTTTCAATATTGTTGCTTGATGCAATGTAATAAAATTCTACTTTGGAATCATAAGACAATATTAAGTTCATATTTAACAGAGACTAAACTGTAATGATATTGGTCAGGAAATGGGTAGGATAATAAGGAGTTAATAATTCAATAACTTTTTCCTTGAAGCTTGTTGCTACATTTTATAAGCAGCATATGTGATCATTCAACTTCAGATAAATACTTTGGAGATGTCCTATATCAAAGACGGTGATGTAACTGAATCACTGTTAATACAAAAAAATTCTGCCATTTCCTGTTCCATCTGTTTAATAACATTTTTATTGTTCAGCAAAGATACATTCAAGGACCATGTAAAGAATGAATGTGCTTTTTAAAACAGATAAAACAGTAAAGTTTCAAGAGCATGGACTGAAACTGTAATAGAATCACATGCTTTAAATTTAGATACAGAAGAATGAACTATCAGGAAATAATCTAACCAACAAGAATTTCTCCGTATGGAAGGAAGGAAAGTATATTCCCTTTGGGAAGGATTAATACAACACAAAATATTCACTCGGTTAAATTCAGACATGTAGTCTTGCAAAATATTATGAATCTGAGAATATAATTTAGGTAGTGAAATGTTAAGAAGGATTAAAAGTTTGATTCAAGTCACTTCCAGCTATTACATGGTCCACTGATTTAGTTTAGAGATATTTAAAACAATTATGTTTTTGTGGTTGGACCATATAAATTCAGGATTCCTAAATCCTGATGACTCAGTATGACAATAAGTATTTAAAAATGACTTCTCTATGTGATACTTCTACAACAGTCAGTTTAGAAAGTCTGTTAATTAAAATGACAACACTTCTTGAATGTTTAGAATTGTCACTTATGTAAACCTCTTCCATCCAAAGTTTCCATAAAAGGGGAAATAGGGGTCTTACAGAAAAGCAAATTCAGTTCTTCTCCTACACTTTCCCTTAAACTTAGTCATTAGTTGTTTATTTATGCTTTGCTGGAGACCAAGTCCTTTAATCTTCCATATTACTAAGGAGACTGCCATTAATTAGACTTAAAACCAATGATCAAGAAAAATGGCAGATGCTATATCCATCCATGCTGCATCTGGATTGTATCAAAAGGCAAGCTACTGCTCCCCAAAATGAGAAAAATGCAATTGATTTTAAAAAAGCAATAATAAAAAAATAAAAAAAAATCTAAATCCTGTTTTGCAATAGTCTAAATTGCTAGGCAATTAGCTAATCGCATGATTAAATATTACAGAAATCAATAGGGGAAGAGGAAAAAAAAAGTTCTACTGATCAGCCTATTAAAATATATGGATGTTTCATGAAGATAAATTTAGAAGAGTAAAAGGGAATGCAAGAGGGAGGGGGAGGAAAAAGAGAGAAAAAAAGTAATACAGGATAGTAAGCCCCCCCCCCCCACTGTTTGTAATCTTACCCTGTAGCCAAAGACATATGAATACAACAAGCACATGTGTAATTAAGAGCCAGAGATAAGTTTAAAAGCCTGGATAGAAATAATCATAATAGCAAAACAGGAGAAAAAATAATTAATCCTCCTCCTTCTAACAGGAGCTTAAAGGGATAAGATTTTTAAAAAATTTACATAGGATTACAAAATGATTTCTAAGTGCCATTTGATAATAATTATAATTTAAAAAATCGGCTAGAGACCTGGTGAAATATGGAAAATTCTCTCAAGCGATATTGCTTGTGGTGTTGAACATCTGTGTTGTTGAACTTTTTTAGTACAATCTGGGAAAATGTAATACGAGACTTATAATCTCCCCTTTCAGTTACTCAGTGGATCAGGCCTTCTTGTAAAATGTCATTCTTTGCAACAAATATAGGAAACTTCATAATGAATGGTTGAGGTTTACCAGCTGCACAAAAAGGAGAAACTGGAATGTCTTGAGCCTTCTCAATATCTAGCTGATAATCTTCAGACATAGCCACTACTTCCTGTGTTAGAGTTTCCCTAAAAACTACAACACACCTGTTGCATCTGAGCAAAGGCCTCCCTAGCCATGGTGCTTACCTGCCTATACACTTACTGCACCTGGGCAAAGGCCCTCCAAACCATGGCCTCCACCTGCCTTTTTGGGGGGGGAGGAGTGCCTTTGAGTCACT